ATATTGTTAGGAAAGGAGCGAAGTCCCCCTGTTTGCTGGATTGGAACCCAATAGCAGGGAACAATCCCAGAAGGAGAGTCCAGGCTGAGGTACAAGAAAGGATAATCCAAAATGCGTTGTCAGAGTACAGTCCGGGTCGAGGCAGGCAGCGAGTATCATAAATGGTGAGGCAAGCCAGGAGTTGCTAACCAGGAGATCCGAATAGCAGGGAAGGGAGGCAGGAAACAGGAAACAGGAAATGAGGTGTTGTAGCTGCTTTGGGAATGGCAGAATAACTCAGCAACAAGTCTTGGCTCTGGCTGGAATTTAAACCCAGCAGGGGCCAGCGACGCCCCCGTTGTCTGGGCAACCAGGAAGCCACAGGTCCCTGCGAACCAATGGGACGGCTGGGAGAGAAGGAGTGCTCGCAAGACCCTCCCCGGCAATGACCAGCACCCGAAGCAACTAAGAAGCCACGGCAGTGCCACATGCGCACGTCACGCACGCATGTCATGTCACCCCAAGAAGGACCCTACGATCTCCGTCGCACCCGCCGGACCCCAGGTAAGAGGGCACCCCTGGTCCCACCACAGATATACTTTAACTACGTATGCACCTTCATGTAACCTTTTATTTTAAAAATGAGCCCACAGGTTAAAGCCTTGTATACAGCCTGGGTCAGGGTGATCACTAAACAGACAGGAATCTGAAGATGAACACATGTATTTGCAGATTTGTAGGGTCTGACATGTTAAAACTTTTATTTTTTTACAGTACAACACTCACCCTGTAAATTTGCTGGATGCAGTTAGCTGATATCACCTACACTTGATGCCTCTACACTTACAGCCATTTTATAATGCATCACTAATTGCTTTACTTATCTGGATTACACCGAGCTCTAGTTAATGACATTCATACAATCTATTGCGCATATTTAAAGGCTACATAAATGTCACAACGTACGTGGCTAATCATGTGGATGTAATGTATGTTCTTTGTCTCCCAGCATTTAAATATCTCCAAGCAGACTCTCGAAGCAGGATCATTTTAAAGGGTAACGCCAACCAAACAGCTAAATCTACAGTAGTAACACACAAATAGAAATGTTTTAAGCCCCAAAACATTGTTATAGTAATATAACTATTTCTTCACCCTTTGATACCATACCATAGATAGATCATCACTGGAGAAAGTGCTACGAAGGCAACTAAACTCATAAGAGGCATGGAGGAGGATTATTGAGTCTATGGTCTACCATGCATGTGCATGTGATCCTTGATGAAACTTTCAAGTATATTCCCAACAATTGAAGTTAAGCTTACAGGTCTCTAATTACTTGGTAAAGACTTTGATCCCTTCCTAAATATAGGTACCACACTGGCCGTGCGCCAATCCATTGGTACTAAGCCAGTCATTAGAGAGTCTCTGAAAATTCGATACAATGGCTTTGAAATTATACAGCTCAATTCGGTGCTTTGTTCACCTTAGGCTGGGTTCACACCTAGGTGTATCGAATATGTGCGTTTCGTGACACGCGTTTTTACCGCTATTTTGTCTATTTCTGGACCATATCAATAGTCAGCCATTGTGGTTCAGTAGAGGCTATGGCACTGCCATCCCTGTTATGGACTTGAGTTACATCCTGTTCCCTGGTGTGCACAGAGCTGAAGAAAGTATCTAATAGATTTGCCTTCTCTTTGTCCCCAGTTACCAACTCTGAGTTATCTTTTAAGGGGCTTACATGCTCAGACCCGATTTGTTTACCATTACTATATTTATAGAATTTCTTGGGGTAATCTTGCACTCTTTTGAATCTTTATTTACTTTTTACATAGTTTGTAATATTCTTTGTAGCTTTTAAATGACAACAGCGTTCCTTCATTTGTATATATTTTTAAAACGCCCTTTTCTTATTCATTATGGCTTTTTTATCATTGGATGTTTGATAGTAGTTGCAGAAGGATTACGTTTAGGGGTTTGGTCATAAGAGGGCGCCAGAGAGGAACAACAGTGTCAAATATACTGCAAAACAAGCCGTGCACGACTGGAGGAGGAAGAGTAAGAAACCCTGACAGGAGTGGCCTCTCAGGATGACATAGACCTGTGAAGATTCAGGGCAGGTGCAGACCTGGGCGAAACAGGACGCGTAGTCGTGAACAATTGCACACAGCGATTACTGCGTGGCCCCACTGATTTCAATGGGATACATCCGCGCGGCATTCGCAGAAAAAAGGTACATGTTTCTGCGACACGACGCGTGGTTGTTTTAAGCTGCGATCATGTTCGGTTGCACGGGTGAATTTGCAGCGGCAAACCATGCGGCAGGAGCTGTCAGAATACAAAAAAATAACAGCAGATAGCAAGAGAAGTATTAGCTCCTCTGTTATCTGTCATAATTTCATGGAGATGCCCTCTGCTCTAGAAGCTGCATAAGAAACAGCAGGAGAGGCCGGTTGACGCTTAAAGCTTGCAGACAGGTGCAAGTGTGAGTCAGGTTTAGAGCACATGTCTGGAGGACTACAACCCCCAGCACAGCCCTGCATGCCTGCAGAACCAAGGGTAAGAGATATGTATATACTTGTAGAACTACAAGTAACAGTTCAGCTGCAAGTCTGCATCTGAACTGTGACAGTAACTGTCATTTTCAAATCATTGGCTGAAAATGACTGTCAGTGTTTGGCAAATAATAAACCTCATTATCATGATGTGTTAGCTTTGTGAACTGATCCTAATGCTACCAGAGCCACTTACTATAAATCTATATATAATATCATGCAGATCCTTATTACAGAGCAGTCAGACAAGTGAAATAATACATTAATGTATTATATTAGATGAATAAAGCCTCCTGCTCTGTGAAGGAAGTTTCGGTCCATTCTAAAATAATCAGTTTAGTAATTGCTCAGCATCACGTCTGACGATTTATTCGGCTTGTCTGTTTAACCGCCATGCAGCATGTAGCTATTAACCACTTCAAGACCAGGTGTTTAGACCCCCTTCCTGGCCAGGCCATTTTTCAGTGTTCAGCGCTGCAGTACTTTGACTGACGTTTATTCCGTCATGCAACGCTTTTGGGGACAGATAGAGCTTTATTTTGGTGGTATTTAATCACCACTGGGGTTTTTATTTTTTATTATAATTAGGAAAAATTACAGAAAATTTTGAGAAAAATAAGTTTTTTTTTACATTATGTTAGGAAACATTTATTATTAACCAGTTTTTTGGTCAAATATAAAAGATCGGGTCACGTCGGGTAAATAGACACCAAACATGTCAAGCTTTAAAATTGCGCACACCCGCGAAATTGCAGAAAACTACCGTACCCAAAATTGGCCATAGGCGACACTTTAAAAGCTTTTACCGCTCATCAGTTTAGTGTTATCAGTGATTGATGGCCCTAGACTTATTGCTCTCACTCTCGCATTTTTGTATGTATGCGCCCCCGACGCATGTTTACATGCGTGTATGTATGGGTGGGAAATTTAAACATTTTTTTGTTTTTTTATTCTTTTTGATGTGCAACTTTAAATTGGGGGGGGGAATTAAAATTTTTTTCCTTTTTTTTTCCCCACTAAACTTTATTGCTATCACATACGGGGGCTAATAAACCCCCCCTATGTGATAGCAAAATGTGACAGGTCCTCTTTATGCAGACATCAGGGGTCTCCAAGACCCCCAATGTCACCTAGGACCCCCCAATGAAGCTGATGAAGCACAGATCTGCTCCATCAGTTCTTTCCAGCTTCTGAAGCTGGAGAGTGACACAAGAATGCGGAAGTGATGTATTATACAACACTTCCGCGTTCTTGCAGAGGAGAGGGGACCGGAGGGAGCTTGTGTACTGAGCTCCCTCTGATCCCGTGACACAGGGGACATGCTGATCCCGGGCTCGCACCGGGCACAGTGTAGCCTGGGATCAGCGGGACAACGGCGGGGGGGCCACGGAGGGGGGACACACCAATCGGCACCCCATATGTTTGTATGGTATCAGGCATCGCTGCCTGTTTTTAAAAAACTGCAATTTTCCGCTCGCGCGCGCCGAGCGGCGTGCGCGAGGGGGCGTGTCTGAGCAGACGTCTAAAGACGCCCGCTCAGATCTAGAGAGCTCCGGGCCGGCCGTTTTTCTACTACGGCCGGCCCGGAGGCAGTTAAAGGACCAGTCCACCCATTTACTAATCATCACTGCATTTTTGTTATTGCATGGCAATATTAATCTGTAGCATCCATGACCAGATCCAGAGCTCCGCTGCGGGGCAGAGAGGCTGAGCATCAGCTTCCCCAGAGCTCTAGACGCCGCAACCGTGACTCCACGGCGCAGAGGGACAGAAGCCGCTCTCCTGTTGACCGGAACATCCCACAACCGGAGAACATCCAGAGCCCCCCCCCCCCCTCAGTGTCCAGCAGAGGGAGGAGCGTCTAGCATGCAGCATCTGCTTTCAGCAATTGCAAGAGGGAGCGCCTAGTAACACACTGCGCTCCTCCCACCAATTTCACTATAGCTGCCTCCAGAGATGGGTGCCGCAGAGAGACACTTGTCCCATCAGCTCTGCAACTATCATTTGGAATATTGGGGTACGTGTTTTACATTTGTTCATTTTTTTCTCAACCTTTATTATTTCTGAGTAAAGGAGATTGTTTTTACTAGTTGCAGAAATCATTTAGAGTTTATTTTGTTGATTAAGAAAATTTCGTTTGGCATGTCCTTAGTAAATGTAATTTCTCTCTTCTCACATACAGCGCAAGTTAATGTCCGTCATTCACGATCACCGTGAATAATGGAGTGCCAAGTCTACACGGGTTGCCAGGTAAAATAATAATACAATTTTAGTTGGTTTAGATATTAGGTTACTTTTCTCTCTCTACTGCTGCTGAGAACAATATCCCACGGGCACCGATATGATTTTATACTTAGAAAAACTGAAATGTAAAGAAATGTCATATGGAATTTGTTTTCAGCATTGTTCCAGGAGAGGAACAATTCACATTTATTAAACATCACTTTATCTTTGTTATTGCAGTACCTCGGTCTAGAGGATCCAGAGGTGGACAACATCTGCCCCATGGATTCAGAACAGCTTGTAGCCCTTGCTCCACTCAGAGGGGCAGAAGTCGTTGATCAGAACCATCCCGAACCGGAGAACACCCAAATGCCCCCCCTCACTGATCACCAGAGGGAGGAGCTTCCTTCCTGCAACATCTGTTTGGAAGTGATGCAAGAGGGAGCGCAGACTAACACCCTGACCGGCTCCCACCAGTTCCACATTGGCTGCATCACCAGATGGATGCAAGGAAATTTGAACTGTCCCATCTGTCGGCAAGAATCATTTGGATTACTCGGGTATGTGGCTTACATCTGTCAGATTTTTCTCCCACTTTTGCCATTTATGAGTAAAAGTAAGTGTTCTTATTAGCCGTGGAAAACATTTCAATCTTATTTTGTTGTTTTAAGTCACCCTTAATAAATGTAATTTCTATTTTCTCACATACAGACCGGGCTTCATATACCAAATTATGGACAGATGATCATCACTGCCTCTGGCCAATTCTGGGCCAGAGGGCCATCGATGTCTGTTCGGTTTGTTGATGGACAGCCAGACTTGCACTACACTCTGACTTCACCGACCTAAGCAGAACATGTTGGAATGTCAACATACAACATGTAAAGCCACTGTTTAAGGCTTGGATAGAATTTTGTAGTATAGCCATTCCATACTTAAGGCAGTATCCAGAAAAAAAGTGTCTAGTGTGGCCTTAGAAACAGCATTCTGCCTTTTTGGTGTTCTCCAGTCCTTGCATGGCTTTCTCACAGGCCCGATATACCAAAGGTATAATACTCTGCTCTAAAGTAAGGAGAGCGCTCTATGACTGACTCAGAGTACACAGCTTTGGAAAGTACCACAATTAAGTATCCAATGGTAATATACCAGGATGCCTTCCTTATTTCCCGAAGTGAACTGTTCTGAAACTTTAAAGCACTCTGCAGCTAAATGGCAAAGTACCCAAATGTACAGAAAGCACTATAATGCAGAGCCCAGTGCCTGAAAGTCATTTCCCAGTTTATCTCCACCCCGTCCACAAGCTTACTCACAGTGTGAGTCTTCAGAGACTGGGTGTCACCAGAAGCTCTGCCACAGCTCTGAACCCAGAGAGTACTCTGCAGGCTAATCTACAGAATACACAATGGTCTAGGAGGCACCAGAAAGCAGAGCCCAATGTCCCAGGGCCACATTGCAGACAGAACCAACAATCTTCAGTCCAGCAGACCAATTTGGGTACAGCCTCCAAGGCTTTCCCGAAGATTAACCAATCTGGATAGCTGCTTTTATTGGGAGAATCACCAAGCTGAGGAGAGAGCATCCAACCTCATCATAGACAACTAAACTGTGACTGTTAGAAACAGGGTTATAGGAGGCTAGTCTTCAACGTTCAACACCAATTTCTATCTCCTGCCTATAACCTATATTTTCATGAATAACTACATTCCTGTCTTTCTTAATGGATGCTAAAGAAACTCTTTCATATGCCTTCATAAGCACTGAAAAGAATATGTGTACAAGTCAATTGACAATAAAAATATTCAACTGCATTAACTGTATTATAAATTAGTTTATTTTGTATTATAAGTATAAGTTAAGGTAAAGAGTGAGGTCTGGTTCATACCAGATGCATTGGGGTTGCCCTGAATGCTTTTTCCAAGCACAGCCCCAACAGCAAAGTTGACAACACCGTGTTGCAGAGGTGTGCGCTGATAAAGTAAGGCATGCTTGTGAGCCCCCCTAGGTGATAGCAATAAAGTTAGAGAGAACTATGGGGTAACCTTTTTCCACCATAGTTCTCTTCAGCGTCACAGGAGGACATATACTAACCTTCTCCCATGACCCCAAAACTCAGTATATAGGGAGCTGAAGGGACCTGTATAAGAGTAAGGTGGCTTGCAGGATCAGTTGAGTATAACATTGTCATTTTTGAACCTAGCCAAAAACAAGCACTAAACCCTTGCAGTGCCGGGGTAGCCGGCACTGCAATCCTTTGCTAGAAATATGCTCCAAGATGGAGGCTCTAATAGATTGATGGAAAAACCTGGTCATTCAGTATGTTCAGGTAGGCAGCTATAATTGTGGTGAAATCACAGCCATTACTGGTCAGTGCAGGCCCTGTGGTTCGGAGACTCATGAATGTCCCACCTTCATTGGGGGTCATTGAGACCTGAGGTTGTTTTTATGTAGATGCTCACATTTCGGGGTATGTATTAGCTGCGCGCAGTCACTGTCACTGTAAGCTTATTGTTCTATTGCTCTACAAATGACATGCCCTCCTTTCAGCTTTCCTTTTTGCGGTCATTTGTCATCATCAGCGAAGTGATAAATTTATATTTTTTTTCAAGCTGTAACTGCGTGCGTCACAGTATGTGATGGAGTATATGTCAGTCAGGCTTGCTTAGTGATTCATCATGAATCTAGATAGGTTTACTCCTCATTATATCATACAAAGCTACTCAGCCACAATCACAAAAATTCCCTTAAAGTAAACCGCGAGGGTCGTTTTACACCTATACGATTTGCATCTCTCATACAACGCACTGCAAAGCATTATGGCGTATTGCACACATATTACATGCAATGATGCTTTGCAGTGCCATTGGGCTGCAACGTATGGCATCGCACCAAAGTGCATCGCAGCAAAAATGTTGTGGCAGTCCAAATATTTGGTACAAAAACAGACATTTCCCAAGATACTCTCCAGCCAGCCTGCAAAAAAAGGACACTAACTACTAAGGTTAAAAACAGAGATTTTAGGTGCACAAGTTTTGCAAAATATGTGGAAGCCGCACTGCCTTGTGAAGGCCCCTCTGTGTAGTGTGGTCCTAACTCTAACCTATGAGAGTCTCCATCTTGGAGCATATTTCTAGCAAAGGATGAATTGGGTGCTGGTTCACCTGGGCTACCTCCTGGCGAACCTGCACCCAATTCATCCTTTGCTAGAAATATGCTCCAAGATGGAGGTTCTAATAGATTCATGGAAAAACCTGGTCATTCAGTATGTTCAGGTAGGCAGCTGACCTCATTTTTTAGGAAAGTAACATTGCTGAACCTAGACCTGTTATTCAATGGAACGCTCTGATCTATTTGCTTAGCTAAATCCAGTTGGTGACTTATTTTGGGGCAGGCACCCAAAAAAAGGACCCGCTGGCAAAGCACCTTGTCCCCATGTCGATGATGGCAAGGGCCTCTTAACAGGGCAAGGGTCAGGGTTGTGGGGGTCTGTTGGCAGATGGGCTTATCTGAATCTTGGTCCCCCTCCCGGCAAAGCAGCTTCCCCATGTTGAGTGCATGTGGCCTGATATGGTGCAGTGGAGGGGACGCTCAAGGGTCTGGTAAGACCCCACACTGGGTTTTTTTGGCATTGGGGTCCCCCCTAAAATTCCTACAGGACTTAAAGGGTCCGGTATGATTTGGGGAGGGAAACTTCACGCTGTTTTTTTTTAAATAATTTTAACATTTAGCAACACAAGTTCATTCCAAATGACATTCGGAAAACATTTTTGATGCATCCGAATTATATTATTGGAAAATTTGAATATATTGAGATTAGTTATTTCTTTCATTCAGAAATTCGATGCATCCGAATGTCCAAATATGCCGATATTCGTCTACCCCTGATGAGTCCCATAGTCCAAGAATGAGTTGGGGTAGGATTTTTATCAACATTTTTGTAAAAAAAAATGTATTTGGTTCTATATGTGGTGTTACATTTTAAATATGTAGCTTGTTTCACTATATTTGTTTTTTTTAGAAATGTAAAGCTAATACTTTGTAGTGAAATGTTTTTTAATTTGATACATTGTAAAATTTGTTAACAGGGTCTATACTTTTAGGTTATATACTGGCGCCATCGTGTGGGTTGCTCTAGAACTGTATTCTGTTTTTTATATGATTATATGGAATTTAACAGGTAATGTGGTCTTATTGTTACATTTCGAGTGGAGTACCAAACACGCCAAGCTTAAAAATTGTGTGCCCTTGAAATGGCGACAAAATACGATGCCCCAAATTGTCCATAGGCACCGCTTTAAAAGTCTGTACAGATCAACAGTTTAACGTTAACCATGAATATTGGCCCTACATTTATTGCTCAAACTCTGGTGCATGCAGCAATACCCAACATGTGTAGCGCAATTGGCGCACCCGACATGTGTTTATGTTAGTATGTAAACATTCACAGGTAGGGAACTTTAAATATTTCTTTAGTATTATTACATTTATGTTATTTAACTTTTTTTTATTTAAAAACCTAACTCACAAGCCCCCAATGTGATAGCATATTAGGTGGTGACAGATTCTCTTTATTCTATTAGATCCCTAGTGTCACCTTTCCACTGCACCGAAGCTATTCAAGCTCAGGTGGCGCTTGAATAGCTTCTCCGGCTTCTCTAGCCGGTGGATGACAGCTGTGGAACCGGAAGTGATGCAATCAGCGCTGCTTCTTGCTCCATTCAGCGGGGAGGACATGCAACAGACATGTACATTTGCAAATCAGCAAAACCCAGGAAGCAAGCGAGGGTGTCGGACAGGGGGGTACTCTTCATTGGTCCGTGGACGCGATCTGGGGATGCCTTCTGAATGAAGGATACAGCTTTGGGCAGGTTTGCACAGTGAAGCTCACGGGACTGAAGACGAAGCAAGGTACTTCTCCAGATGGGCTGCACTCACGGGCACTGGCAGAACTACCAGGCCCGTTTGCACCTGGGCCCTGGCGTTCTTCCAGCTGAGGGGGGCCCCAGAGAGGAAGAAGAGGGCCTGCAGATCCCTCACACTGCCCGCGGTGTTTATGGGACTTGGCGTGTGGAAGACTGTAGCGGGGCGTGGGGGGTGTTGCTGGGCACAGAACTTAATTTCCCAGCAGGCAAGGCAGCAAGGGAGGTGCGGCATACTAACTGGAGATTCAGGCAGCATGGCCACTAGAGAGAGGTGCGAGAGTCAGCAGGCTAGAGGGACAAAAATGGTTTACTGTTTTGTTTATTGAAAAAAAAGTATTAAAATCATGTTTTTTATGATGGGGGGGCTTCATGGTTTCTTGCACGGGGCCCTGAGGTTTCTAGCTATGTCTCTGCTCACAGGGGTAGGGGCATGCCTTCAAGAGGAACATGTACCAAGGGTATAGCTGTCCTTTAAATACTTACAGCATTATCCTGAATCAGCTAGTTACCCGTTTTCTTTTCACCTAAATGGCATATTATGTGCTGTGGTAGAGAAGTAAACAAAGACAATCAACAGCTTGACAGAAGGGATGGATGGTATGTTATTACAGCTAAAAGACAGATATAAAAAAAGACAATTAATCCAGATATGAATTCATTAAAACATTACAAAATTAATTATTTCATATAACTAGTTCAGGCAAATCTTTTTTGTATATTATCATGCTGAGGGCCCCTGCACAGCAGCACTCAGACTGTAATCACTCTAAATAATAAATGAAATCTCTCATAATTAAGTCATAAAGCAGAAAGTATTACCGATTCTCTCCTCCTTTGACTTCAATGCAGACGGGGATTAATTACTCATTTTTAAGATT